GGAAGCAGGATCTGCACTTTACATCTCAGGTTTCAAAGTTATGACCAGCATTCTTATGTGTCACAACTTCTTTTCACGCTAGAAGAAAATTAAATCTCGGTAATAAGTACTGCAAATGAGTATCTAAAATTCAGGAAAGCAACTTAACTCACTCTGTCTGGAGAAGAGTCTGAGAGAACTGGATGGGGTAGTGCAGTGCCTCTGAATTTTCCTAGAAGCAAATTGCATTGCAGTGAAATTGGAGAACCAGAAATTCTCTGCTGCACTGCATATAACAAGCCCAGAGACACTGGATATCTATAATACCATAAATTACAGTAGGAGCATATGGAGGACTGAAAACTGGTAGAGAGTTTGTTGAAAATTTCAAGAATGTTTCACGTAAGGTTATCAGTGAAGAAAGGCTAATGTAACTTTCTTCAGTAAGAGATTATTGTTTACTGCTTGTAGAGCTGCTCTCTCGGAATAATTTATTTATTACTGCAAGACTTAATGAAAAACTGTTTCAGTTTTACTCTGAAGTGTTCCCACAAAAACTTGTACTGAAAATCTATTGCAATTGACGTTTTCATCAAATATTTTTATTGTTAAGTTCATATAAGGACAACCCAAGACCCATTTGAGTATGAATACCTAATAGATGGATTATAGTATTAGAGATGGACTTGATTCTGGAAGAATATACAAATCTGCATAGGATAATAGTCCTTGATGCTACAAGGAATTGTATATGGTTTTTAGATAACCAGGTTTCTTTAATTAAAGTGGTAAAAAAAAAAAAAAAAAGAAGAAGGAAAAAAAATAAAGATATTAACTTAAATTTATATATAGAATTAAATGGTCAACAGATAAGGCAACTCAGATAAGGCAAAACTTGTTTGCAGTATTGTGGAGGCAACTATGGCACAAAGTATTTACCTCAGGCAGGCAGTGTCTCACAAGGCATGTGTGTGTGTAAAACATAACAGAAGAAACTTTGCATGACAGCTCTTGGTAACTGTCTTAAAGCACTTAAATTGGCTTGACCCTGAAAGTAAATAAGCTAAAGTGAATTTAAAAATATATACTGTTATTACTTCATGTAATCTTCAGTATCTATGAGATTTGTATCAGACAGTCCATTCTGTATCATAAAGTACATGACCTGACTTTACACTGAGACAAAGATCTACCGAAGGGAATCCTTGGGGCTCAGGACCTGCAGATGCAGAAGCCTACGCAACTCTGCCTCAGAGCCTGACTGACTTCCCCTGAGCTGTCTGAGTGCAGGAACGGCTTAAGCAGATCTGCCTCCAGAATCCAGCCTTTCCAGGGAAGTAATGGAAGTCACTACATGCTTAATCCATAACTGATGATGAAGACTGAAACTTTTGGAAGGAGGTGGCTTTTGTGTTGTGCCTAAGGGAAGTCAGGTGATATTTTCATAAGGAAGAGAAAGACTCCCAAGATTTAGCTTCACTGTTTGGCCAAAGAGATGCTGAACAGAGTGGAGAAAGGTATGTACTGCAGCCAGCCCAATAGCCACCACGTTTAGTTGGATATAGATAAAATAAAAAGAGTTTGTTCAGGATAGAACAACAAAAACAATTAATGTGAACAGACTGTGCTACGGTTTCCATTCCAGCAAAACAATTTTACTGATTTAACAACTTCATGTATAGGGTGTCCTATTGTTGTAATGTGTGCACTTCTAATTCTACAATGCATGAAAAACCCCAAACAAATGATAAATTACATTTCCATCCCTCTTCTTCAATCAATTCAGTGACGTAGGGAAATAACAAAAGTCTCTCAGCTGAACTATAAAATATAAATAGTTTATGCATCATCATAAGATATTCCTTATTTGGAGTACTTATCTTCTAAGTTGCTATTGCTTGATTTGTTCAAGGCCACTTTCTTCATGGCCTCTGTATGTTGGACTTCTTTTGTATCTAACTTGACTGAAATTTTTCCTAAACAATATTCTCTTACTCAAAAAAAAAATTCTGATGGGGAATAAAAGAATAATTTATAGCATATATCAAAATAACATGCAGAAGTACAACGCTTTGAATATGGCTCAGATTGCATAACCCTTGATAAAATGTCAAAGATTGTCTATAGCAGTCCTTGGCTTGAGGAGTAAGGGAGTAAAGTTTGATACCCAAAATTCCATAATAAAGTGTGTATATATTTCTTCTTTTCCCCAGACAGAATTACACTGCTAATTCTTGCTACTTGATTCTTCTGAGGCTTATAGGTACTTCATGTGCTAAAGATGCAATTAAGGATATGCAGTGCTGCTTAAAACATTTTATGTATTTTGAGACTCCCCAAGTAATCTCAGTGAAGTAGACTGGAAATACATGAATATCGCACATAGCAAACCAAGCCACAACAAATAAGTAATAGGTTTAACTTTTACATGCTTCTTTTCAGCAGTCAATACTAGAACTCTTTTCAAAGATGGTCACTCAGAATCATCCATCCCATTTTTAACAATGAGGAACCTGAAGTCTGTGAAGCTGAGATGGCTTTGCTTGTGTGACATACCCACTGGAGGAAAGAGAGTTCCCAAGTCTACAACTACCAGACAGATTTGCCTGACATCTCAGGATAAGAGTTACTGTCACCAACTCAGCCCGCTTTAAACCCTAGTGGCACTGGTTCTTGTTCTCCTCAGGCTGCTTTTTGTAGAGGTAGGAAACACTTCAGATGGTGAAAATAAAAGATTTGATTATATGCCTGGACAAATGAAAGTCTAATACCTGGACAATCACACGTTAAACATATTGTAAACCCAGGCATTGAACACAAACATAAACCAGATCAACCTCAGGAAGAATGCTAATAATTTTCAGTTTATTTTGGAAAGTCTGCTAAATTTTTGTTTCCCTTCTACTTTAGTGCCATAATGTTTGAGTATCTTTGCTTGGTTTCCTTGTTTGCTTTTCTTTTTCTTTCTGGCAATTATTCTATTCCTTTGCATGTGCTACTCTGTTTAGCCACCTGAAATTTGGCTTGCTTTCCTTGATACCTGTGTTTGTTTGTTCCGTGGCTACGATCCTTGATCCTTCCACTCCTTTAAGTTTAAAACTTTGTGAAAGGTCTTCTGTCAAAACCACCTCTTCTTGAGGTGGTCATCCCTCTTTTCTTATTCATATATTACAATATTTTAAGATCCTTTTGCATATTTTGCCAAAATCTGTACTACTGTCTACCATATTACATGCATATGCTTAGTCTTAAGCCATGTGAATATTTACTGTACACATTGCTTTATTTACTTCCTCTGGGAAAACTCCTACATTCAGGTAGATGGATATGACTCCTGTTAAAGTCATGTAAGCTGTATGTGCACCAGAGGACTCCTTCAGTTTAAATGTGACATTTAAAAATTCTGTCCTTGGCAAATACCATCTTGCTCTGGATTTATTCTTCTGGGGTTTTTTGGTAGGTCTGAGCCCACGGAAATGGGTAAAAGAAGAAAACAAGCACTTTTCCTAATAGAAAGGTTGAAATGTCCATGTGGTTTGTCTTGTAAAAGAGAGCTAGAAAAGTTTGCTTAAATCTTTCTTTTAGCAGTATCCTCTAAATTGGAGGCATTATTACACTGGAGTAAGCGGATAATTTCTAGAACATATGGGGATAAAGTACTGAATCACAGTATTCTAGAGACATGGAAATTTCTGCCTCAGTCTTGCAGAGCTGCTGGTTGCCATCCCTATTTCAATCTCCTATTACTTGGCAACCACACCTCTTCCTGGAGGGCACCAGCAGCTAAAGACTGTATGGGGTTTTTTTGTTGTTTTGTTTTTTTTTTTTTGTTTTTTTTTTTTGTTTTGTTTTGTTTTGTTTTGTTTTGTTTTTTCTTATTTGGTGTTTAGGAGAGGCAAGCCCACCAGTGCTGCTCCTTTTCCTTGCTATGCCTCTGTGAGGTTGATGTGACTTTAGCTGAACTCAAGCCTTGGTTTATATCAGAATAAACCTTCTACTGTAGAAATCCCAAATAAGGCTGGGAGAATTTTTGCTGGAGGCTCTTTTTAGAGAAGTGCTTATTTAATTAACAATTAATGTAACTTAGATGACTGTAAATGCAAACGTGTATGCTCTTTAAAAACAGTTCTAGGAGAAATGTTTTACTTTTCAATGGCTATCCTTAGAAGTTTTGTTTGGAGATGATAAATTAACTGTTTACCATTTAAAGTGCAGTGCTGTACATTTTCAAAGCCTGACATAAACTAGGTTAGTTTGTGGTGCTCTGGCAGCAACTTCACAGCAGAGTCCTTCAGTATCTCCACTCTGACATGGAGGCTGGGCCGAGTTACACACAGGGGATTGCTGTCTAACAGCTGTTCCCGGTCTCCTCCAGGAAAAGAGGTTGCACTTTTTTTTTTTTTTTTTTTTTTTTTTTTTCTATTTCTCCCCAGATACCTTTCCCAGCAGTTCACACCCCACCCCTCTCAGCACGTACCGCCCCTTGGGAATTTCTGCCCGTTCCCTTCAGAACCAGGCTTTGCTTTGGAACAGGTAAGACTGACGGGCTCTATCCCGGCAGCGCGGCCGAGGCTGGCGGCGGCCCTGCCCCGTCAGCGCCCTCACCGCCGATGCGCCCCGTTTCGTTAAGTGTCGAACAACCAGGAGACTGAGCCCCGGCGGGGCGGAGCGGAGGGGCTGAGGGGCTGCGGGCAGGCGGCTGTAAGGCCGGGCTGGCGGCAGCGCTGCGGGCGCCTCCGGAGGGCTGAGGGGAAGCAGCTCGCTCGCTCGCCCCGGCCAGGCCCGCTCCAGCTCCCCCGGCGCGGCGGCAGAGCTCGTCCCCCCACCCCCCAGGCCGGTTCCCGAGAAGGATGGGGGGGGGGAGAAGAAAGGCGGCGGGAGCGGCTCCCCCGCCGCTGCCCTCGCTCCCAAATGGCGGCCCGCGAAGGGGGTGGGGGCGCGGGGAGGAGCGGGCTCTATCGGCAGCTCGGCGCTCCGCCGTCGGGCCGAGGGGCGGGGAGAAGGAGAACGGGAAAAGAAGGAGAGACAGGCGAAAGGGAGGGAGCTGAGTGCCGAGAGGTCGATGGGCCGAGCATAAATGTCTCGATGAGTGTGAGGCCGCCATTTTAGATGAGGAACGAAACGGACGGCGCCGAGCGGGACGAGAGCCTGGGGGGAGCGGCCGAGGGGCAGTGACATAGGTAGGGGCGGCGTGGGGCCGGCGAGCGGCAGGTGGCACGGCAGGGAACGAGGGAGAGAAGGGCTCCCCTTCCCCTTCGGCTCTCCCTTTCTCGGTGCTGGCGCCTGGAGCGGCGCCGGCTGCTCCCAGCGGCGGCTCAGCCCCGGGCGCGCTGGCCCGGCCGTGGGGGAAGCGGGGAGAGGTAGGGCGGCTGCTCGCCCGCCCCGGCAGGGACCGGGAATGGGCCGTACCCGTACCGCGGAGCCCTTTGCGGTCGGATCGTGTGGTGCGCGCCGCGTCCCCGCCGGGAGGCCGCCCTGCCCGCTGCGGGAGGAGGGGTTGCGCGGCGGCCCCGGCGCGGCAGCGGGGAGGGTGCCGAAAAGCCCGGGGTGGGAGAGGTGGCGTTGGGGTCTGAGGCCCGTCGCGGCTGCGGAGGGTCGGGTGGGAGGGGAGGTGTGTCGTGGCCGCCACCTGTCAGTGCCAGCGCGGAACCCCGGGGCTGGCGGTGGGGGGGCTGCGCGGCCGGAGGGGGGGCTGTGCCCCGGGGCTGGGGCCCCGCAGCGCCCGGCCCGGCCTGGTGCCTGGGCAGCCGGCGGGCGGGATGAGCGACGGGCACCCACCGGCACCTGGAACGGTGCCCTGGTCGGGGGGAGGCGGCCGTGCCCAGCGGCGGCTCCGCTTGCCCGGCCTCCTCGGGTCTCCACTTCGCTGCCGGCAGCTTTGTCTCTCCTGCGCTTCCAGCGGGGACTCCCTAACCTTTCTCTTACTTTGATCTACTGTCTTCTGAACCGAGAACGGAAAATGCGTTTAAGTTTTATTAGCATAACTGAATGCATTCTGCTTAGGCATTCTTCAGCTTGAACTGCTTGCTTGATTTTTTTTTTTTAGCTTCAGTTTAAAAAAAAATACTTGAAAACTAGAGTAAGATTCATTAGTTTCCTAGTTTCTTTTAAACTGTTACAACTATGCTATGTAGAAATGGTGTTACTCTGGAGCCAGGGCCCAAGGATTGTGCTCTTTCTGGACTCTTTTATCTACAGTCTAAATGTACACACAAATAACCTGCCCGTGCAAACAGCAGCGCATCTCTTGTCTATTGTTTGTTTCACCTATGTTAGGCTAAATAACTTGTGTAGTACGTTTTTTTTTTTCTGTTTTTTTTTTTTTTTTTTTCTTTCTTAGCCTTTAAGTAACATCCATAAATATAGGGACCTTACCCAGGACAATGAGACCTCAAAACCAGTTGTAGTGGAATTGCTACAGCACAGTGTGCATTCCAGATGCAATTGTAGGTTGTTGTAGGTGTGCGAAACAAGAAGGATCTGTAATGGTGTAAAACTAAGATTCTTCCAGAACTGAAGCCAGCTTAAGAAATCTGAAAATAGTTATATACAAAAGACTTTAAAAATGTCTTTTATTTTAATGCTTCTGAAAAACTCAGCTTCAAATATTGCCTAAAGGATCACTACATTGTGCAAAACTAAGATAAAATTTGAATGGACATGCTTATCCTTTAGGACATGTCTGCAGGGTTGGTGCAGAAGAAAAGATTGAGTTGGTGAATGTGAGAGTTAATTGCAGGCAGTTCAATTAAATCTCTTTTGTGACCACCCATTCAGAATGGAAGTGGCTTTAATTTAGTTTGTCTTAATGAAAATTTTCTATAGGTAAACCCTAAGGCTATAATTAATCATAAAAAAGGTATGGATCTGCATATATGTTCATGAAATGGATGGTTGATTAATATGGTAAGCAAGTTAATCTTAGATTGTTAAATCAGAAGTGAACTAGCTTACTTGGGTTGGAGCAGTGGTACTTTCAGAAATCTGGAATGTGTTTTTCATATGATTTGTTGTCATACTTAATATCTTCAGGACTGGACAACTTATTGTGCAACACTGCTGACTAACCTGCTTTGAAAGAAAATCTGGAAGTAGCAGAGAAAATATCTATCTTTTTCCAAAGAAGATATAAGACTTTATTTTTTTTTTTCCAGTTGAATGCCATTGTTGTTTACCTATAATTTTCCATTTTTTATTCTTTAACAACAACAAAGTCGATTCAAATTACATATGAAGTTACTGCTGTCTCAGGGCCTGAACTTACTACAACTTATTAAAATAACTCATATTTTATAAACCACAAACATGACCCACGGAAATAATTGGTCAGCACTTCTTGGTATGCTAAATCAGCAGTAGTTTCTTGTGGGACATATACTCCTCTCCTCCCCCCAGTTTATTTATTTGGCTCCTTCACTGTTGGGAAACTGGGAGCTGAGGAAAAAACAAGTTTTCCTTGTTTTCTGTCTTTTGAAAACAAATTAAATTGAGATGGTGAGAGCTGTTAGTTCTAAAACTTCTGCAGGAGATGGGAAGCAGAAGCTGTTAGTTTAAGTTACTAGCTATAAATAAGTCTTCAATCAGTTTCAAAAGCAGGAGTTGTGCTGCTAAATTCACTTTTGTGTTACGGATACAGAATGTTTAAATTATTTTTGTATTCCTAAGAAGGTTGAGAGCAAGTGAACTAACAAAGTGTAGTTCAGTACAGATTGTATTTGGGTCTCTTGATCATCTCTGCTGAAAGCATGCTGGCTTTCACGACGCCGTCAGTCATTCCCTTTGCCACACCTTTGTAATACCCCTATCACCCCTTGTTTCCCCATATTTGCCATTGCCTTACTTAAACACCCTCCAGATTTTTTCTCCCCTTCCTCTACCCCTAGTCTGATGTTGCTTGTCTACCTTCTTGGCCTGCCAGCCAGGCAAGAGGGAGGGTTTTTTCTTGGTTTGGTTTTGTCATGGAGTGATGTGCTGCTGCAGCTGGCACGCCAAAGGTTTGGGCTGTGGTGCCCCGGCTGATGGAGAGGCTGGGAGAATGAAGGGTTCTCCCATCCTTTGGCTTCCTATTTCCATAGCTTGTGGGAATTTTGTATTCCTGATGCTTCTACTTAACTGTTTAGTTGAATAAGCTGATGTGTCCAAGAGTTGCTGGAATGGAGGCTGGAGGACAGCTGGGTGGCATGATCATGTAAGACCAGTTGCCAAGGAACCAAGGGTAACATGGGTTTTGTGCAGTTGAATTTCCGAAACTTCCATGCAAATTCAGCTTGCAACAAATGAATAATTGAAAAGGATGATTGCTTTGTAAGAAATTAAGTTCCTGGACCATCTTCTAACCTAAAAATGCAGAAATCTGAAGACTGTAACAGTGTGAAGAGAAATAGAAGTCAGTGTTCTCTTTCTCGTAAAAACATCACGTTGCATAAGTCAAATTTATCTATTTGGGGAAGTAACAAAAACAGTCAAAGCAAGATTAAAACTTGTGATTTAAGTAAAATTTCAAGTATGGTAATGTAATCATGGTTTCAGTAAATTTCATGTAAGTGTGATTTGTAAACAAGCAGATGTGTTTACATCTGCATTGTACTGATTTTGATTGATTTTGTGTAGTTGCTTATGCAAAATCCTTCAGTATTTTCTGGTATTAAATATATCTATTGTGTATTGAATAAGGTTGTGGAAACGTTTTGTCAGTTCTAGAAATTAAGAGAAGTTGTTATAACACTAGGAAATCAGGTAAAAATGGTAGATTTATAACAAATTAACAAGGCATTTTAGCAATTAGCATGGATTAGCTCATGGGTTTGGAGACTGTGTGAAATAGATACAGCTTACTCTGTAGGGGTAATCCAGATATGTATTTAGTGATGTTCCTAGTTTTTCTGAAAAGAAAGTCTGTTTTGGACAAAGTTCTGTGAATAATTCTCAGTGCTCTTGGCTCTTGCTGCATACGCTATTTTTTTGTAAACAACGATTTTGCTTTGAAAAGCAGCTGGCGCACGTTTATGCCTTTAGTGACTTGAATATTGTGTTTGTATTATAAATGTCGTTTGTTTTGCACGAAGTTGATTTTATTGCAGCAGAGTGTACTGACCTTTTACAGTTTAATAGAATATGGTCATCTTGTGTACTGAAATGCTGCAATGCATACAGTAGACGAGGATAAACAAAGCGCTGTTCTTGAGTCATTTGTAAATGAGTAAAGCATTTTCTTGGTAGACTTCAGAGCTAAGATTTACAACTGATAATTAATAAACAGAATGTTTACATGAGTATCCTTTTTTCAGCATTTTAAGTGACATAGTCAATGTGATTTGAATTATATATTTTCCAGAGGTTTTTGTTTACTTATAGGAAATGACAAGCATTTTAGAGCTAAGATTTTAGTGTAGGAAAACTCTGGTGTAGAACAATACGGTGGCAAATGCAGGTCGTTGGATTTGTTTGCAGCTGCAGGTGTGTCTGTGTTCTGCCATTTCTCCTATATGTGTTCCAAACGTACCCTGCATGCTTGCATAAATGAAGCAGAACAGTAGCACAGTTAAATCAAAGCTGATTGGTTTTAACTTCAGGCAAAAGAGTTTTAGAATTGCCTTGCAAATAATCTGTGCGTGTGGTGAGTGTGTAAGTGACTCTGCCTTGTTTTTGTTGCACTATCTGAAAATCTGCAAATGGGACCTGTATCTCCAGCTCTTCTGATATAAGCCCCTTTTTATGTTGTTGTTCTCGGTTTCATTGCTCTGTGGAATCATTTCACTTGCTGTGTTGTGGCTCTCTGCAGATGTTGGGTTGATTATGGTAGGGCTGCCTGTTTTCTCTTACTACTGTGTTACGTTGCTTCATTTCAGCTTTCAGCTTATGTTGCATACTTGATATTGGCTTGACCCTAAAATATATAATTTCTGACAAACAGCTGACAAAAGGGTGTTAATTAATATTGCATTCCAATTGAAATATGCAGTATCGGTTAAGAGCAGTTGAGACATCTTGTGTATTTTTAGTTCACTAAGCCAGAGGGAGGTTGCTTCACTAACTTGCAGCTGGGTGTGGCGTGGGGTTAACCATATTAATTAAAGCTGGCTCAGTGCTTTTAGACTTGAAAAAATGGCTCAGAGCCCCCATTATAGTCTTCTGTTATATAATTTTTTTCATTATGGAACACGCTAGAGTTTTGAAAATG